AAAAAAAAAAAAAAAGTTACCGGGAGGGTTACTTGAAAAGAAGCAAGCAAAAGCTTGCCGGACCGTAAAGCTCATCCCCGTGAGCTGAGGGGACAAGAGCCCTGACCTCCGAAGCCAGACCATCCAGGTTCTCACATCAGCCATCTGATCTCGCACGAGCTACCTGCCACTCTCGGCCCTCCCCTCCGTAAAACAGGGAAAAATCATCATGACTGTCATTCCTCCCTCCCTCCCTCGTTACGTGCGAAGCGACACGACACTTGCTTGGCGGGGCTTGGTGATCAGAGAGAGCTCACACTCCACACATTCGCCTGCGGAGCAAAATGGAATTGGAATTTTGAGCTGGGGCAGAATGAGACGGAATTTGCAGGGAGGGAGAGACTAGCCTGGCTCAGGCAGAGCAGGAAACCTGAGGGACCTCCCGGTTGCCTGGAGGGAGGGAGGACTGACCTCTCCGAGGCAGAAGAAACAGGCCTGCTGCTTGCTCCTTTGGGGCAACGGAAGGTCTCCTCACTGCTCTGCTCTGCAGGACAAGGCTGAGCCAGTCAATGCCCAGTATCGTCAGGGGCTTCTGTCGATGATAATCCAAAGTACAAGTTGAGCGTGTTGGTGAAGAGCAAGGACTCAAGAGCCAGGAACCAGATTAGAAGAATCTTGGCACCACGTGGCCATCTCCTTCTTCCTTCCCTAATGCTGCAGATGAACCCTCGTGCACCGTTCCTGGGAACGCGAGAGGGTCCAGCTGCAGTGGGTAAGGTGTGGTTCTTCAAACAATTAAGAACAGAACTACCGTATGATCCAGCATTTCCACTTGGGTATGCATATCCAAACGAAAGTAGAATGGTGGTTGCCACAGGTTAGAGGGAGCGGGGGTAGGCGTTGTTTAATGGGTTTCATTAATGAGTTTCATTTTGTAAGATGAAAAGGTGTTGTTTAATGGGTTTCATTAATGAGTTTCATTTTGCAAGATGAAAAGAGTCCTGGAGATTGGTTGCCCAACGTACATTTAAAAAATGGCTTAAGGTGGTAAATTTTATGTGTATTTTACCACCTTTTTTTTTTTTTTTAAATGCTGCTGATAGGGCCCCTGGGTGGCTCAGTCGGTTAAGCATCTGCCTTCGGCTCAGGTCATGATCTCAGGGTCCTGGGATGGAGCCCCGCATCGGGCTCCCTGCTCAGCCTCAGTGGGGAGTCTGCCTCTCCCTCTCCCTCTGCCCCTCCACCGGCTTGTGCTCTCTCTCTCAAACAAATAAATAAAATCTAAAAATAAACAAATGAAATAAAATGTTGCCAATGGTAATAATGCAGGCAGCCTCACCGCATTTCTGGGTCTACCAAACGAATGCCCAAATGTGAGGCTAAAATCACAAACCCCTATAAGGTTTAATCTTTAATACTGTTGGGACACAAGTCAAAGAAATCGAGTCTTAGAGCCTCCGGACACCTATCCAGTCTCCCCCACCCCCATCCCTTACACACACAGCCCCCAGCTCCTTCTTCCATATGGAAAACGGGTTCTTCCACCCTCCACCCGGAGCCTGGCCAAGCAACCCCACAGCGGGGTTGCAGGTCTCTTTAGGAGTATCTGCACTGTGCGCCCGGTCCCCTACAGAAGAGGGGTCACCCAAAGCTTACCCGGGTGTTGGGAGCAGACCCTGGAGCGCGGGGTCGGTCAGCAGAGGGGAGTTCAGCCGAGCTGGGCTGGAGCTGATCTAGCCCTAACAGTGAAGCAGGGAGCCCACAGGCACAAAAGACAACTTTTATTGCTGGGTAGGTGGGGTGGGGACGGGTGGGGCAGGGCTCTTCTGCAACAATGCAGTCCGACAGGGATGCTCCCGTGGTTCCACAGAGTTTTAAAGCCTTTTTTTTTCAACTGTGGTCAAATACACGTAACGTAAAATTTGCCATCTGAACTATTTTTAAATGTACGGTGCGGGGCGCCTGGGTGGCTCAGTCGTTAAGCGTCTGCCTTTGGCTCAGGTCATGGTCCCAGGGTCCTGGGATCGAGCCCCGCATCGGGCTCCCCGCTCCGCGGGAAGCCTGCTTCTCCCTCCCCCACTCCCCCTGCTTGTGTTCCCTCTCTCGCTGTCTCTCTCTCTGTCAAATAAATAAATCAAATCTTTAAAAAAAAAAATGTACGGTTCAGTCGTGTTAAGTACATTCATATTCTGTACAACCATCACCACCATCTGTCTCCAGAACTCTTGCAAAACTGAAACTCTGTCCCCATTAAGCAATAATTCACACGCCCCCCTCCCCCAGCCCCTGGGGGTCACCGTTCAGCTTATTCAAGTTTCTGTCTCTATGAGGTTGACCTCTAGGTATTGCATGGAAGTGGAATCATACAATAATTGTCCTTTGTGTCTGGCTTATTTCACTTAGTAGAACGTCCTCAAGGCTCACGCATGTTTTACCGTGTGTCAGAATTTCCTTCCTTTTCAATGCTGTGTAATATTCCTTTGCATGTGCATGCCACATTTTGCTTATCCATTCATTGGTCAATGGACACTCGAGGAACTTCCATGTTTTAGGTATTGACAAGAATACTACTATGACCACAAGTGTACAAATATCTTTTCCAGACCCTGCTTTCCATTCTTTAGGATATGTAACCAGAAGTGGAATTTCTGCGTCACAGTGTTGAGAAGCAAGAATTCCTGTTCCTTTCAAGAGTCCTTCCAGCTGGACTAAGAATCAAATTGACATGAGACAGATTAACAGGACAACATCAGATTTAATAGCATATGTCTTGGGCATCCACACACACATGGAAATTCCAAAGACAGGCAAGAT